AGTTAAAGAAAAAACACACGATGATTCTTATCTGAGTCAGTGAATCCACATGACTAAATTCTATACAGTAAAAAAGGGTTCTTTTAAACTCTTTTCAGACTAGGTAACATGACAATGAAAACAGTGAGTGATTCAATAATCACAACACATATCACTTTTTATGTGTTATCTAGATGTACACGCCTACATGATGAAACATTGGTTTAGTGAGTAATTCGTGTACATGCATGTTATGTTACCTACTTTAAATATTATTCTTATCACATCATCATCATCACCACCGAACAATCCAATGACTTAGATGACTAATAGATATATCAAACACATACACAGCACACGTTTTAATCCAATTATTTATTCCTTCACGCTCCCAGTGGAACATAGGGCTTCAAGCTTGAAGTTTCTGTAGCAGTGGTGATTACTTTTACAGGATGGCGTTGCTAGCCTCATGCCCAACCTTCCCTCTTTACCAGTCTTACTACTGGCTTAGCGAGGTAGAGGAGTGTGTCGGTCGGGGATCGAACCCCTAAGGGCGGGTGTACTGCTCATCAGTCCGCTCCGTCCTCCTTTATGGCTGTGAGACCTGGCCATTGAGAGCGGAAGACATGAAAAGATTAGCTGTCTTTGATCATAGGGGTCTGCGCTCTATCTCCCGTGTGAAGCGGTATAATAAGGTGAACAATATTGAGGTTAGGCGTCGAGTGCTAGGTAAGGAGGGGAAATCAATCGACGAGACTGTGAAATTACATCGACTGAGATGGTTAGGACATGTGTTACGTATGCCTAGTCATCGCCTTCCTCGACAATGGGCAATGTTAGCTGATATAGGGTCAGGCTGGAAAAGAGCTAGCGGCGGTCAAACCAAAACATGGCACCAGTCAATGAAATCTACAACAGTTAGTTTAAGCCACGTAGGAAGGTGTAGACTTCCTGACTGGTTGGGGTCCTCGGGACGGTAAAAACCAATGGTTGGAAACAATTGGTGATATGGCTCAAAATCGTTCTCAATGATGGCGCAGATGCATCCACTCCTTGTGACTTATGATTTCCAATGAAACTATATTGTTCTTCGTTATTACTATTCCTTTGTCTCACACCTCTGTTTACTGTCTATATTATGCATTTCTCCTACTTTCTTCTCTTGCTTTGTGTGCTACATGGAGTGTGGCGACTTGAACTGCCGCACATATGTGCAAAGTTCTATGTCGAAAACAGACAGACAGGATAGAACCCCGGACCACATGCGTGGTTGGCAAGCATTCTACCGCTGCGCCTCCGACGCACAATACATTATAAACGATGTGTAATGGGAATAATTTACATGAATTTATTGTCAAAAAAGCGGTAATGAAAGTCTATCGTTAAAGTACGCCAAATTGATAAGAGACAAACGTATATTGTAGGGGGATATTTTATCTCAACTGTTGAATACTTTCAATAGGAATATCTTATAAACGTTCGGAGACCTGCTTAAAACTTCGGCTACCAAAACCTCACATTATTGTACTGATATAATTTCTCTTGTTTACTCTCGCGAGTATTTGAAATGTTTACAAACTGCTGATTCGCAAGTGTGTCTAGTAAACTTGGGAGGGAGAATAATCGTAGAATAATTAATTGTATCAAGCCATCTACTGTCACAATTAGTATTTTCTTGAAAATCTCAGACGAAGAGATATTATTACGCAATAAATTCCGCTGATAATTCTGTACATTAATATAAATACTATCCAGAATAAAGCTATTTTTTATCATTACTATAATTATTACATAAAATCAATAACAGATCAATAAATGAGTGATGGCCATCTAGAAACCAGACAAAGAAGGTGACCTGAGGAACATGAGGAACCAGTGAAAACTCTAGCAAAATAACAGAACAGAACATATCACTGTAAAACGATTACATACAGTAAAAAAGTAAGGATGCATATCGAAAGAAACCATGCATAACAGATTCTGTTTAATAATTGTAATGACGTAAAGTGAAAAAAGCAACAACACACGATATAACTAGTTGAGGAAAAATTTGTTATCTAAATCAAATATACCGATATATGAACTTATATTCACAACCATGGTTGGATGGAGGATTAGACGTAGGATATTAGTTACTGCCTAATGTCCAATCGAAGTATCCATTGCAGTCTTACAAAAGATTAATTGAGAGTCCAGAAAGCTTAATGGTAACGTCTCTGACTGAAGCATTGGGTGATCCGGGTTTCTATTTAAGAAGAGACATCACTTCCTTCAAGATTGCTGATACATCTTGCTGAAAAGTGCCAACAAGCACGAAACACCTAGTTCCAAGGTTTCCAGACGATTACCTCCAACCATCTAACAACAAAATCACAGTGCACCATGATGGCAAGTCACCAAGGATGGTGGCCACATTGCAAACTTCACTTGATAGAATTCGGTCTGTACCAAATGAAGGAATACACACATAATATTAGTTACAACCTACTGTATATATGGCCAAACCAAGTTCACTTTTAACAGTTTGAAAAAATTTGGGCATTGGGTATATGATATTCATTATAATAAAGGTTTTTTTTGTATTTCCCAATGAATGAAAAACAAAACGATATTGTGTTTTTACTGACGTTTCGCTATTTAATGCTGCTAATAGCTTTATCAAAGTATTATTAAACCGGAATTTACAAAATCTCAGCATATATATAACAAAGAGTTAAGGGGTGAGAAAATAGACTTAGGTCAAGTTCAAAGGACATATTGAAAGTCAAAATAGCAATGAAGATCACTAAACCAAATAACAAAGGTAATAGTACGTCTGTTATGATATCAAAACAAAGTTTACTAACTTGATCATCGTTCGTCAGTCTGGGGTCATTTTTCGTTGTCAAGTTGGTCAATTGGTAAAGATAACAAAACCAAGTGTAGATTGTTGGATTTGATCAGTGTTTAAAATTATAAAGGCAGTGTCTGTCCGACTACCGAGAAATCCAATTGAACTAGAAAAACTTGAAAAATCATCAGCCATAGGTCTACATGCTATAGAATCAGGTCACAAAATCGATTTTGACAATATTGAAATAATCCAGAAAAACTTCAGAAATCACAAAGAACGTCTAATATCAGAAGCACTTCATATCAAGTGGAATCCAAATTGCCTGAATAGGAATGATGGAATAAAACAGAATCTGACCTGGTTACAACATCTCCCTCCCCCATCAAGTGACAAAATCAACACGAATGTGATAAGCAAGTTCACTATGTAAACACACACTGCCTTTATAATTTTAAACACTGATCAAATCCAACAATCTACACTTGGTTTTGTTATCTTTACCAATTGACCAACTTGACAACGAAAAATGACCCCAGACTGACGAACGATGATCAAGTTAGTAAACTTTGTTTTGATATCATAACAGACGTACTATTACCTTTGTTATTTGGTTTAGTGATCTTCATTGTTATTTTGACTTTCAATATGTCCTTTTAACTTGACCTAAGTCTATTTTCTCACCCCTTAACTCTTTGTTATATATATGCTGAGATTTTGTAAATTCCGGTTTAATAATACTTTGATAAAGCTATTAGCAGCATTAAATAGCGAAACGTCAGTAAAAACGACAATATCGTTTTGTTTTTCATTCATTGGGAAATACAAAAAAACCTTTATTATAATGACTACCTACTGTACACTCAAAGTACCTAGAACCACGCATAACATACTTTGAATCCATAAGAACATACATCTGATTAGCAATTGGGAATCAAAGAAATCAGGACTGTAAGGAAAAGGAAACACACACACACATCTACGCTTACACAATTGGATCATACCTGTGATGATATAGAAAGCAACTACACTGTTTCAAACGTTTTAAAAATGTGAACTCTCTTAAAGATTATAAAAATTTTTTTAAAAAATTGAGAAATTGAAAGTTGTGTTGACAAATGAATTTAGATGTGGAAATAAGTAAAATTAAAAAGGGCTTGACTAAACACATCCAATGTTGATGTACAATGTGTTATTTCCATCACCATCCTCATCAGTAAACATAATCATGTGATCCGTGTTAAAAATTGTTTACAGATCGATTTTCATCATCATATTATGCAGTAATAAAATCAAATTACTGAATAAAAGACATTAGCTAAATTCCTAAATTTCCACAAGCAGGCATTTATTTAAAGACGGTAGTGAATATATATATATATATAGCATGTTCTCCTGTCAGGCAGCACGCATAGGTATGTTGAGGCCAATCAGAGTGGGGAGAGGGGAAAGGAAAATCAGTGTAGAAATTTACTGCACTCAGAACACGAAAAAGGAGATTTGGATTTTCAGAGCTAATGTCAAGCAAGTCAATCAGTCATTTTATGTTGTTCAGAGACTTGGTTCTGCACGTCCCCAACAGACTACAGAATTTCATCAACAGCTGTCTTCGATTCATTCTGAAGATCAGATAACCGGACAGAAAGGTTAAACAGCAAGGAACTCTTACAGTCAATCAGACAAGAACCTGTTTATCGCGCAACAAATATGTAGAAGGAAATAAAGGATGAATAGGGCACACGCTGATGAGACGGTTGGGTGGCATCGCGCGCCAGGCCCTAAGAGTGGAACACGAATGGGACGGTAAGGAATAATAACAGTAATAATAAGTAATAATTCGGCTCGATCCAGACATTCGGGTATAAATGACCACTGTCAAACTAGGATGTAACAAGTATCCAACACTCTTGTAGCTGTGATAATAGGTCGGTCTATCATAAAGTCTACGCCTGAAGTCAATCAAAGTATCACAAACTTAACATTTAAAGAAAAATTCTAACTGTTCTTGTATTCGTTATATAGCAAGTGTAACAGAAAACTTTTGAAGCACAAAGTCAATTCACTGTCATGGACTTCTCATGGATTTTACTTAAAACGACAGAAAAAAATATGTATCCAATCATAATTTTCTTGCATAACTCATAACACACACTTTCTCTTCAGGGGGTGAATAAGTTAAATAACTACTTACCAAAATAACTTTAGTTTCATCTAATTCATTTTGAAGTCGCATTAAACCATCTGCTTGACTTGGATTTTGATATTTCTGTAAGTATTCATCAATCTTTTTACATGAACCAGATCTAAAAAGAATGTTTAAAAAAAACAAGACAAAAATCAAAATTAGTCGAAAATGAAATTATCGTCAAAAAATAGACAATTCTTTGTGAAAAATGCAAACTTAAAAAAACTCTGGTGAATTGACAGTTTTGCTTTCTTACTTAATATTTCAGTGACCACCCCAAGTACATACATACACATACACACACACACACAAATATAGAAGCATAAAAAACGAAGGACTGGATGAATAACTTGATCACTGAAATATATATTTTAAGTATGCACCGTGTGTTCTCTCAATCAACGTCATACGATATACGCGTCGATCATAGAAAAGAATTTGTAGATGACTGACTAAGAAGAAGAAGGAGAAGAACCAAAGTTTGCACAATATATACGCATATATCTTCACTGTTTCTTAATTACCCCCCCCCCCAAAAAAAAAAAACAAGTGAGTCACAAATGATTACTTGTTTTTAGGTTAATTTCGTATTTTCCTTTGATTGATTATGTTGAGTCTCAGAGTGGGAACGCCATCAGTCATTGGGAATGCAGATGCATCCAGAGGAAGAGTTTCTTTATAGGAAAAAATGCGCAGCCTTAGATTCCACTGCCAGTCACAACCAAACAAAATAAACTAATTAATTTCGCTCCCTCTATATGTATCTATCAGTTAGATTACTTCTGTGAAACAAGTTTACACTGGATGTACGTACAGTTAGACAGTGTTTATCGTCGAACTTCCGAACATCATCCAATATGTGATTAAGAGAGGGAAGGATAGTTGCATGTGTGCAAGTAAACCAACTGAACGGACGCTTAAAAATAAGGGTCGATGCCTTTTCATAATCTTCACTTAAACGTTGACTGTTAAGGATGAGCTATATCAGAGCCTGTCTAGTTAGTTAGTTGCCAAAAGCAAAACGCTTAGATGCAATTTTAGCAGGTGAATTTAATGTTCAAGTAGGGAAGCTAGAGACATGGAAGAGCAACATGGAGACCCATGTTGACGAACAGATAGCAGTGATGCACTATCACAATTCTGTCAAGATACAATCATCTTTCTCTGTCGCCATCAAATTTGAACATAAGGAGGAACATTATCTCTCTCCAGCACACCACCAACATTAGACCGAGGTTGGATACACATGTACCGCCTAGTTATGAGTTACCAATACGAGGGGTCAATGGAAGATAAACCATCCCTTCCAGAATGTTCATGCGGACTTTGATAATGTATTAGTCTGCCCTTACGTGTGTAGCTTTTGATGAATTTAGAAGGAAGACAATTAAATATACATCACAATGTGACAACAAAATTCACCTTGCAGAAGCCTAACACCACATAAAATCTGCTATACACAACAGTAGATTTCTTAAGTTTCCTATGAACAGATTGAGGCACTGAAAATAAATCCGACAGGTTCTGGACATGATATGGAACGAAAGCTGAGTGTGATGGCCTTTGCAACAATTGTGAATAGTGGTGGGCAGCAAAAGATAATTCATCAGCAGTAAGTTCTAAACGTTAGCTACTTAGGCGGGTTCTAAAGAACCATGTGGCAATTAAATCATCTCCGAGAAAGATAGAACTTTAATAACTTATGAGACAAGACGGCTGGAGCGATAGTTGGAACATACTTTAAGGAGAAATTCACCCAGCTTACAGTTGTTCATCATTCAACTTCAATCTGAATGATAATGCAACTGTAGGCCAGGATTGCAAACGTTGTCTCTGATTTCAAACAAAGTAAAGAAGGAGGAATTGACTTTACAACTTCAAAGATTTTTAAGGATGAAAGTAATAAAGCACTGGTTACACTGATTGCAGTATAAGTTAGAGCCCGTTGAATTGTTCAAATGTTAAAGACTGCCATACCAAAACACAACTAACTGAGTGACTAAGTTTTTAACGTAGAACTTTGCACAAACAAGTACAGCATTTCGAATCTGTAAGGACTATGCGCAGAAATATAGGGGAGAAAGAATAACTATCATAGAAAGAGAAGAATGAACCTGGAAGATTGTAAAAAGTGAATGCATCTGTGCCACTAAGAACGTCTTTCGGTCTTATTACTATATGTCAAACCGCCACTGGTTCTCAACGTCTAGAAGAACCCTACCTGGTTTAAACCAACAGTTAAAGGCTTCATTCTTTCCCAACCTAATATTATTCGATGAGGCACGTCATGCGTAACATGTGTCGTCCTAACCATATCAATCGATTTAGTATCACACAACCTTATCGACTGACTATTCCTCTTTTCAAGTGTTGGTTTGTAGGGATTTGATTGGTTTCAGGATTTCATCATGAGCTGACATTAGTTAGAGAACCATTGGAAAACCTGCAGGGAGTACTGGACAGCTGTTTCGTCAGACTAGTTTGGGACTCTTCATCAGTACGCACCCACAATGTGGGGTTCAAACCCAGGACCTTCTGGTTACAAGGCGAGCTCGTAGACCATTAAGCCACTGGGACCCTATCCAACGGCCCATGAATTCTAACTTCTGCCAATTCACGACATAGCGCGACCACTAGCCAATGTCTTCGGCGAGTATTTGTCTTCACACCCGACCTGCTGCAGCCTACTGGTCACGACTTCTCACTCAACCCCAGGTAACTACCTACCTGAATAGGCTAGGGGTCGCGCTATGTCGTGAATTGGCAGAAGTTAGAATTCATGGGCCATTGGATCGGGTCCCAGTGGCTTAATGGTATACGAGCTCGCCTTGTAATCAGAAGGTCCTGGGTTCGAACCCTACATTGTGGGTGCGTACTGATGAAGAGTCCCAAACTAGGACGAAACAGCTGTTCAGTACTCTCTAGCAGGTTTTCCAATGGTTCTCTAACTAATGTCAGCTCATAATGTATTCCTCTTTTATAGTTTACTCTTATTTTTGAAACTTGTTTCTCTTACTATTAAAGATGTACTGTAATATTGGTTTCCATGTTCACCTACAACATTCGTCAATTCTTTTTGTGAGGTTAGTATGGGGTATAGATGTAAAAATCATTTAGACGAAACATCATAACATGGTTAACAGGAAAGAAACGAATTTTAAAAAAATAACATGTCAACAACTAACTATCAGTGTGCACTGAAAATCAAACATGTTGACTTCCTCTACTGTGTAGTCTTCGAAGTCAAATAATTGAGAATAATAATAATAATAACAGTAATAATAACAATAGCAAAAACAAATATAAAATAAGTCACGTGATATGATTATATATCTACACATCTGTAAATAACCTTTTTATATCTAAACGAATGATTCAGGAAGTTAGTTGAAAAAAAGACAAAAAAATCAACTAATCCATCTATAACCTTATAAAATTAGAATAATTTCTTTTTTTTTGTGGGAAAAAAGCGCTTAATCTTTTATCTAGAAAACAGAAATAAAACAATATGTGATTATTGTTTAACACAATAGAAGCTTGTAAAAGGAAAGAGATGTGATAAGTACATATATATGCTACGCTTTATCGTTGTTATATACTCCTAACTTTGCCCAGAGTGAAAATTAAAATAGCTAGTATTAATGATATTAGATGGTTGGAGGCAATCGGCAGGAAGCCCTACCTGACCTAGGTTTCGTGCTAGTTGGCACTCACCGGTCAGTAAGGCGTATCTACAACCTTGAAGGAACTCATGTCCCACCCCTCTGAGATTCGAACCCGCGTCACCCAGTGAGTACTGCAGTCAGAGACGTTACCACTGAGCAGCTATTCGGGCTCGCGATTGACCTCCTGTAGGACTGTATTGCATACTTTTGATTGGACACTAGTAACTAGTGTGATGTGTCTAGTCCTTTCTTTGGTTCGAATCTCAAAATGGGATATGAGTTCCTTCAAGGTTGCAGATACGCCTTGCTGACTGGTGAGTGCCAACTAGCACGAAACCTAGGTAAGGTAGGGCTTCCTGTCGATTGCCTCCAACCATCTAATATCATCAAATCAATGTGCACCGTGATGGCGAGCTACCTAGAATGGTGGCCATATTGCAAAGCTGACTGACAGAATTCAGTCTGCACCAAAGAAAGAACTAGACACATCACACTAGTGTCCAATCAAAGTAGCTACTAGTTAATATTTGTAGACTAAACTGGAAAAAAAGGGTTAAGACCGGGTTTAAACTACTGGTCGTTGCGGCGATTGAGTTATAATGAAAGATCCTATACAATACTTGTGATAATTTTCCTATTTACTATTACCGATGACTTCAACAACTCAATAGCCTACACAGTTCATTTATGACACTCTAGCAAATAGTGGGGAAAAATCGACATGACCGACTTGAATTGCGTTCTGATCTTTTTCTCACATTACACTGAAATATCCCGCGTTAGGCAAAGGATTTAAGGATATATATATCTACGAAACTATACGAACGGTCACTAAACGGAGCATACATGATTTACTATGTTCCACTTCATATTACTGTTGCTTCATACTATATAGGGCACTAACTATTTCAGACGTTATACAAATAGTGTTCTGCAATAGAGCGACTAGTGACTAAACTTTTATTCAGAACTGTCTCATTGTAAGTTATACGCATAACATTAAATTTTTCAGCTAAATCAATTTACTGCTTCCATATTAGATAAGTTTATCTGGAATAACGCAGAGTGATGCACTATTAATAAATGGATGACGTTCTGAGCACAAAGTATTGCTTATAATCACATCAATTTAGTCACACAGTTTTATAATTTGTCTTACACATATTTTCTCTTTCTCGTGTTGTTTGTTGCCACTTTCCACATCTCCGGTATAGGCGTTGCGTCATTCCGATTGCAAATGTGCGGTGTCGAGTCGATAAACAAGGCTTCAGTAATTAACCTCTCTCTCCACCAAACGACATTACTTTTAATACACACTCTATTTTGTGATTACACGCAAGTGCACACAATGTAATGGTCGAGCTTTTTTCTAGATTATTTAACAAAGCAGGGGCAATTCTTTTAGGTCTAGCTAAATTTTTATGTTCCAATAACCTCACTGACCCTGATCTAC